CGCTACGGTTGAAAGGGGAGTTGATGAGAAATTTTTCAGAGGGTGGTGGAATTTTGGACTCTTTCTTGAAAAGGATGGCAGAAACACAAACCCTCATCACATTTTAAAAAAAAACACTTGGCTAATTACATAGGAACACAGCAGGAGTAGATCATTCAGCTCATCGAGCCTGCTCTACCATCTAATACAATCATAGCTGATTGAACAATTCAATACCTTTTGCCCACACTATCCCCATAACCCCTTATAGCATTGAGAATCAAAACATTTCTGAACATCTACTTCAAATATACTTAAAGACTCATCTTCCACAGCCCTCTGGGGTACAGAATTCCAAAGGTTCACAATCCTCTAAGTAAAAAAATCTCAGTCCTAATGGGCATCTCCCTCATTTTCAAATTGTTCCCTGGTTCTAGACTCCCCAATCGGGGGCCGGGGGGGGGACGTCTTACCTGTAACAAATGTGTCTATCCCTTTAAGTATTTTAATATTTCACTTTTCATTCTTTTAAACTCTTGAGAATGCAGGGTCTGCTTGTCCAATCTGGCTTCATAGGATAGTTCCATCATCCTGGGAACAAATCTGGGATGCCATAACCTACATGGGTATGGACCAAGAGCTGGAAGGTGGGATTAGGCTAGATAGTTCATTTTAACATGAACATATTGAATTGAATGAACTCCTTTTGTGTCCTGAACGGTTTCTACAATTCTACACTTTTAATCACGGCTTGGTGAGTCTCTGATAGAAGCGAGCACATGTGAACATTGGTCAAGGACAGGATTTAGCTTAGCTCTTATACTTCTGGTGATCAAGCAGCCTGACAAAGCTCTCTGCTGTAACTCCCATAAGAATGACAGTCCCTTGGGCAAACTGGGTGACCAGTGAAGATATGTACAGCGAATAATGTGCATCTTCAGGTGTGGCAGGGGGGACAGCTCAGTAAAGAAGAAGAAAAAAGATGCTACAGTTTTGGAAATCATAATGTCAGAGAACTCAGCATGAAGGTCCCAAATTACAGGAAGATTGCAAGACACATTAAATTTAAATGTAAACATTGAAGAACTTTCACCATTAACGTGTTTCAACACATTGTAAATACCGCCTCATAAGAGATCATCTCAGAATGGATGAAACTTTACTTAATGTGGTTAAAGAAAAGCATTTTGAATTGAGGTTTGCTTGTAAAAAAAAAGTCTCAAATGTTGAAAATACTTTCTCACCTCATACTGGTCTCCTGGGCAGAGACGTGCAAATCCTGCAAGCCCTGAAATAAGACACACAAATTGTAGAAGAAGAAAACACATCAATTGAAATCTAGCACGCAAGATAAAAGAAAATTATGATCCTTACAACACTGATTACAGCCTCTGTGGACTGTATTAGGATATAATCAAGGTAGCTGCAGAAGGTACAGGTTATTAAGTACTAAAAGGAAGGCTGGATTATAATTCAGGGTAATACCCAATATCAGGATTCTTTTCAAGATTGGAGCCAAATGATGCCGTTTGTACCAGCAAGTTATGGAAGACTTGGAGAATCCTACAGCAGGGTCTCATGCACGAGTGCTCCCTCTGTTTGAATATTCACAAACAAATAGGAGTACAAGCACTTTGATTTTCAATTACTTTACTTTGGATCATTTTTAAAGTGCAAAAACAGCATGTAATGCTCCTTTTTTAATACACAAGCAATGACATGAGTTAAACAGGAGGGTGGTCATAAAGGCATTCAAATTGAGAGAACATTAAATTTGAATTGTTGGGATTTGGGATTTAACATTAGCCAGCAAACATGGAGCGATGGAACAGACGGACTTGGAATGGACTACAGTTTAGGTAAAATTAAAGGTAGCAGAACAGTCGAGTTCTAAGACGGAGACCATGGCCTAGTGGTGTTTTTGCTAGACTATTAACCAGGAAAAATTCAGCTGACGCTTTGGTCATAGGATCAAATCTTGTCACAGCAGATGGTGGAATTCAACTAAGAATCTACTGATGACCATGAAGCTATTGTAGCTTGACTGGCTCACTAATGTCCTTCAGGGAAGGAAATCTGCTGTCCTCACCTGGTGATTGCAGACCTACAGCAACATGGCTTGGATGACTGCAGCTGCAACAACACTCAAGAAGCTTGATACCAGCCAAGACAAAGCAGGTCACTTTATTGCTGCCATATCCACAAGCATCCACTTCCTACACCACCAACCCTCAGTAGCAGCAGTGTGTACTACAAGATGCACTGTACAAATTCACCAAGGATCCTTAGACAGTACTTCCCAAACCTACTAATCACTTCCAACTAAGAGGACAAGGTCAGGAAATATATGGGAACACAATCACCTGCAAGTTCCTTTCCAACGACTCATCATCCTGACCTGGAAACATAGCACCATTCCTTCACTGTTACTGAGTCAAAATTCTAGAATTGCTTCCCTAAGGGCATTGTGGGTCAACCTACAGCACAGAGATTGCAGCAGTTCAAGAAGGCAGCTCATCACCATCTTTCCAAAGGCAACTGGGGTGGACAATAAATGCTGGTCAGCCATCGATTCCTGTGTCCCACAAATGAATATATGAAAAGGCATATCTTGTATGGAGTTTGCACATTCTCCCGTGTCTGCATGGGTTTCCTCTGGGTGCCCCGGTTTCCTCCCATAGTCCAAAGATATGCAGGTTAGATAAGTTGGCCACACTAATTTGCCCATTGTGGCCAGGGATGTGCAGGTTAGGGTTATTGGGATAAAGTAAGGGGGTGGGTCTGGGTGTGATGCTCTTTGAAGAGTCAGTGTGGACTCGATGGCCTGAAGGCTTGCTTCAACACTAGGGATTCTATGATTCTGACAGAAGCATGAAGGAGTGTTTCAGTGGTAGATAGTTTGAGGGAGAGATGAAGGTAGTAACTTCACAGAGTTGACTAGCGGTTTTTTGTAGCGAAGACATGGAGTGAAATCTTAGCTTTGGATTGACTGGCACATGGAAGATGAAAACTGTCAGGTTCTTGCTCCAAGTGGCCACAGAGAAGATTGAATTGGTAGCAAGGGATCTTGCCAAGAGATGAATTTTGACCTTGCTAACGTTTAGGCAGATGAAATAACGGCCCATCAGATACAGGAT